TTGATATCTATTCTCATAGGAGCAAAGGTAAAGATCTGATCTTTTTTAAGACTACTTAATTGTTTGTGCAGATGATGCTAATAGAGAAGGTGGAGAATTTGCGCGCCGACGCCGAGGAAGTCATGGACGAGTTGAAGACTACTTGAAGATTATTTTGTTTCTAGGAAAATACCAATGAATTTATTATTTTCGTAAAAATTAAATCAAAATGAATGGAAAATTTAATAAATTTAATAAAATTTTGTGATTATATATAAAATTAACTAAACTTCATAATTCCATTATTTTAATTGTAATAGAATCAAAAATGTTTCTGTTTTTATGTGATCTCTCAAAATCTGATGAAATAAATATATTGAGAATGTTCGAGTATTTTTATTTACAACCTACACTAAAAGACTTAACTTTTTATAAATGTAAAGCATGATCAGATCCCCCATTTTGCCGTAAAATATGGAATTAATAAAAAAAACGAGACCAGGATTTTCGTTTTTTTTTTTTGGTTAGGTCACAAACTATCTGTTCATGAATAGAATAAATTACTTTTCAATTAATTATTAATTTAGCTTTTCGACAAGAGATGGCGTAGCATGCACATACGTAAGTTATAATTTATTATCTACATAAAAGAGTTATGAATAGAAATGGTTTATTTTAACAGATAGAAGTATAGTGTTTGTTTTTTACTATCGGACATTAGTTGGCGCTAGTGAGATTATGTAAAAAAGATTAAATCGTAGTGTCAACTATACAACATATTTATTGAATCTTTTTGATACTCTTTCTTTTGTAACGACTTACGGCAAATATGTTATCGTTAATTCAAAGTGATGGACATCACATCTTCTAGAACTGAATAAAAACTATTCAACACCAGAGGGAGCTTATTACAAGATTTCGAAAGTTCTAGAATTAAGTAAATTATGATTCACACTGAAAAACGTCTCTGCGTGTCAGATATTGAGATAGTACCGTACAGAGAAAATCCCGGTGAAAAAATGCTGATCCATATGTCTAGTTTACGATTTTTTTTGAAATATCATAGGCTATAAATCAGTTACTCAAAAATATTTCGGTGACGTCATCAACAATGAGTCGTAAACTAAGGTAATAAAATAAAAAGCGCATATAACGTAACAATTTATTTTATCTTTTCTTATACAAGCAAGGTTTGAGCGTGAGGTTCGGCAGCTTGGACTTCTTGACGGGCGGCTGCTGCACCTTGTTGAAGTGGAAGAAGAAGAACACCTGGTGCTGGGTGTCCAGCTCGCGCAGCCTGAACCCCAGGCGCTGCACCTCCCGCGCGAACGTCTGCGGGTCCTCGAACCTGCTCTCCACCTCCGCGACCAGCAGGTGACCCCTGCACGTCACACAGTACACTATTTGTTTTAAAATGTCTTTTATAAAAAACTAAGCCCTACTTTTATTTCAAATTTCAGCGAGATCCATTTTGGAGATATGTATGGATGGATAAATTATGGAGATATGTATCCATCGATGGATGGATATTTGTTGCTATTGCATGCATTTATACTATTTCGAGGTTAATTCATAACATTTTTTTGAAATTTTAAATTAGTAGTTTTAAGCAATAGCTGGTTGTGAATTCACCTTCAGAAAACGCTATTTAAACTTTCATACCCGACTTTCAGTATTCTATTGGCTTCGAGCAGGTACTGTGTGAGGTCTGTGCCCATGAGCGCGAGGCAGTAGACCGCCACGTCCACTGCGGCTGCGGGCAGCGGCGTGTGCGCCATGTCGCAGGCCTCCACCGCCGCGCTCGTAGACACCAGGTCGAAGGAACGCACGCGCTGCGGCACGCGCGTGCGCAGCGCACCCTCCCCGCAACCCATGTCCGCTATCAAATATGTTTTAGGCCTGCAAATTAACATACATATCGATAAGGCTCAGATTCCCCAAGGGCCAGTACGGATTTGTACAGATTTGTGCCAGTACCAGGAGGATGATAAAGGATTTCCTCTTAAGAGGAAAGGATGAGAAGGAAAAGTAGATTTGATGGGGGGAGGAGATGCATAGGAAGGGGTAATATTCCTTTTTATGTGTATATCCTTCATCACTTAAAGGTAGGCAAAGCATTTGCAATTGTGGACATCCATGGGTAGCAGTAGCTTTACCATTTTTGCGGATTCAGGTGGCCACTTGCTCATTTGCTACCTTATAATATTTTAGTAAAAAGTAGTCACATCTGACTGTCATAATCACATTGCACTGTGGGTTGACTTCACACATATCTTTAGATCTAGCCTATCAGAAGACTATGTAATCAATTATGAATATAGGATTTTTCAACAAAACTTACATTTCAAGTATTTTCTTGACAATAACATCAAGTGGATTGACAGGCCATTTCTTGACCTGCTGCTGGTAGCCTTCATGGTATGTCTGGAATGCTAAGGGGTCCGACTGGAACAGGCTCTGAGCGTCTCCCCCACTTGAAGTATATAATTTTTCATTTAAATATCTAAACTGAGCAGCTGTAATAAAAAAAAATTAAATACATAAAAAACCAGAGTTGTCACTGTCAGAGAAGGCAACAAAATCTGATATTTCCATCACATATTTTACACAGTGGATTGTTATCAGATAATTTACAATTTGGTGGGACAGGGCCTCAGTGTTTCCAATACATTTTGGCATTTCATAACATAACCACATTTCAACCATTTTATACTGTGAGTGAGACACACATGTAGACTTGCGATCTGCGATCACCAAAACAAGATAATGAAGTATTTATAACAAAACAGTATGGTGATATATATTTATGGTAAAACATAACCATGTTAATGTATCAATCAGAGGCAGTTAGAGTTAGCTATTAAACTCAGCATTGTCTATATTTTTTTGAGGTAATAAAGTTTATGTATTTACCTTTAAGCCTATTCAGCATTCTTTCCCGAAGCTGGTTACCGCTGACTTCAATGTGGTTCCTTTGATTGACTTTGTTTAACATTGATTTTATAATTTCTTTCTTTTTGTTTAATTTTCTATCTATTTGTAATGGTTTTGTTATTGCATGACCATTTAAAACCTTTTTAGTTGTATCATTTTGATTATTTTCAGTTTTACTTGTTTCTTGACTACTAAAAAGTATTTCTTCGCTATCTTCATTATTAAACTTATCGTTAAACTTCTTTTTCCGTGCGTCAAGTAGAATTTCATCTAGTTTATCAACATCACCATTTTTTATTTCCATTTGGTCAACCACTGGTTCCAAAGTTTTATTTTTTATTTTATTTATCTTCTTTTTACTAACAGTATCACAATTTTGTGCAGTCAATTTAACATTTTTAATTGAATCGGATATTTTTTTGTTTCTTATCCGTTTTTTCTTGTTCTTATTTACTTTGTTTCTCAATGCATCATCATACACGTTGTTTTTATGATTAATAGGTTTTGTATCATTATTACCATTAGCCAGTATGTCTCCACTTTTTACATTTTTTTCTACATTATCCTTTGATTTAGCATTTTTATTACTTATCACTATTTTCTTTTTCTTGTCTTTTTTCTTTTTCTGAAATGAGATATGAATTCATAGAGTAACGAAATATTAGCTAAATGTTTTCATAGATTTTTTAATGATATGGGTCATCAGTTGGTAACAATATTATTCTCCGTGAAAACAGATCATTGTAAGGTTCGTCCATGTATGCGTTTTAATTGTTTAATACGTATTTCTTTACCTTTTGGTAAAGGTAAATTATTTCTTTTATGTGTATAATAGTTACACATAAAAGAAATAATTTACCTTTATATTATTTGCATTGTTATAGGTAGATTTTTCATTACCTTCTTCCCATTCTGGTACTTTAAACATTTTACTTATACTTTTTTAAGAAATCATTACAGAAAAAATGCAACTTTATAAAACACGCAAAAGCGCAAAAACATGCGGGCGATTCAAATGACAAATGTCACTTTCTGACATTGACAAATTCAAATGACAGTGACGTGACGTAAAAGTTGCTATTACAATTAAAACAGTTCTGAAACTATGTGGTGTTACTATTTTTTGCTTTATATTTAAAATTTTTGTACAAGTTCTCTACAAAAAATGTTGTACAGGTATTCGTGATGCTATATTCAAAGAAAATAGTATTTGAATTGAAAGCTGGTAAAGTCGGCATCAAGGCCAACCAGGGAAAGTATCAAACATCAGCTTGCGGATCGAAGTTATTGTATGTTTTCTATATTTCACTCCCTTTTGATACTGATCTTTTTCAACGAGCTTCCTGGTTCTTTTATTTTCAATGCATGTGAACTATTATAGCTAATGGTATGGCGTATTTCTCGATTTAACATACAACATTATTCTTTTGATAATGAATGTTTTCGATATTAGAGCTTACTACAAAACGCTTGATAAACTGGATATGTGATTGCGGTAAAGGTCTGGGGGCGTACCGCGCACGCCCGGTCTCCGGACATGCGCAATCAATCTTAGATTTCTCTTCCCATATATTTTTATTATTAATAGTGTTTAATGCAGTTATATGTTAAAATCTTTTAATAGGACGTAACAATAACTGAAAGTGCAGTATAAAATTAACATTCATTAAATTAAGATATACATCACGACCATTTGTTCATTGATTTTGTGTATCTTGTGAGGTTTTATAGTGCTATAACCTAAAATGTAATGTAACTTTTTTAAAATAGGTATTACGGTCTGTTAGCACTTATTTTAGTTGTTTAAATGTTTAAGTATTATTGAATAAAATAACACCATACTTTTTCTAATGTTTACCATGGATTAATGTGAAGAATTACTATGAGTAAAGTTTTTTGATTGTAAAATTTTGAGATATTCACATTCACAGCTCCAGGAGAGATCATAATAACAAGATTTAAAACGATCAGATCTTGTGGTCCGGTCAAATCACAACAAATGAATATACTATACTTCCCGCTCGTATTTTGTGACGTCACGTCAGTTGTAGCTTAGTTGTCATTGTGCTAAGAATCGAGTCCTGTATTCGATTCCCAGCAGGGACAAAGTTTCCGTTATGTGTTTAAAATATCAACATCGTTTTCAGATCATGCTGGTACAGCATAAAAATTGTTCCTATGATAAAATAACAATTAAATGAGATGCGCTACATTAACCTGCAACGAGCGATGGCCAGATCACGCAGAGATAAGATCGTAAGTACTGTCTTCTGCCTAGTGCATACAATTACTTTTGCAGATTACCCGTGTGATTGTCATACGTCAAATGTTTTGATATTACAGTGGCGTTGGCGGTGTCAGTGGTGCTTCATCAGCGTGATTGCTGTCGCGCTGGTACTATACAACGCAGCGGCTAATATCTGGCTTCTCCAGCCCTCGTGTGCTCAGCTCGGGCCTACCTCTCGCCCTG